ACCTCGTTTGGTATCAAACGGCTCGGGGAGTCCTTCCCTATTCTGACGGAGATGGTGGTATTGCTCAACGTCATTTTACATAGGCGTATAAGTTTCGCGGGGATACCAAATTCAGACATCGCGGCATAAAGGCAACTTCCCTTCATGCTGTCGAAAGGGCTTTTAAATCGACAAATAGATGGTGTGTGTCGATCATATTCTCGCGGGTCTTTTCCAAGATATGGTGTATTATGAATACCTGATCTATGGTGTATTTTCCGGGCCCAAAGCCACAGTGATAAGGTCATATCAGTTCGTTGAGCTTCAGTCTTTTACACAATATACTTGATAAAAGTTTGTAACCTATGCTTAGAAGGCTGATCCCACGGTAGTTAACGCGATGGGCGGGGTCACCTCTCTTGTGGATTGGGCAAAGCACAACTAAATTCTATGTAGTCGTCGGGCATGCGTTCATCTGACCATATTCTGCACAAGAGCTGATGCAAGGCAGACTACTTGATAAGCTCGGATGGCAGGCCGTCAGCTCCAGCAGCTTTGTTGTTTTTCTGCCGCGTAATCGCTATGCGTATCTCGTCATAGTCAGGCGGTAGGACATCGACTCCATCGTCGACTGGGGGCTCGGGTTCGTCTTCTCCACTACTTTCATTGCTGCTGCCATTGAATAGGGTGGAAAAGTGTTCCCTCCATAATTTAAGTACGTACTGCGTAATAGTCTTTAGGTTACCGTGGTTGTTCTTATTGCCATGGTATTGAAATCTCCCGTAAGTCGCCTAACTCTCTGATAAAATTTTCGGGCGTTTTTCCTGTCGGCCAGAATCTAAGGAACTTCGCACTCATGTATTTCGGCCTCTTCAGTTCCCTATAACGAGCTCGCGTTGCGCCCGATCGCAGCGTGGCCCGATAGACGACATATTTTTCCTTTGCGGCTTCCTGACATTCCTCATCGCACCAGTTGTTCTTTCGGGCTCGCTGAAATCCAACACTTCTTCGGCGGCGGTACTTAGTGCCGCTATATGGTTTGCTGCTGCTGCGGTTCCAGAACCGCTATAAGGTTTGCTGGTGCTCCGCCGCAAGCTTTGCTGCTCCTCCAAAAGGTGTCGCCGATCGAAACCCAAGTTTAGAACCCTGATAAAAGCCGCAAGATGTCGCTGATGACAAATCCGAGTCCAGAACCGGAACCGATCACAGGGTGTACCGCTGATGGAAATCCGATACAAGGTGGTTTATATGTCGAAAATTGGTAAAGTGTATTGATATACATATAACTACATCCGTATTCTCATACATACATCCATATGCAAACGTAAATACGTACATATGTATATACATATATAGATGCTCCACCCCTAGAAAAGTGTGTTAATAATGTTCACATAGTTAATTGCTAAGTATTTAGTATGTATGTGTATATCAATGGAAAGGCCTGTTGATGTTGATGATGGGAACAAATAAAATTTAATTTGAAATAAAAGAAAGTTTTATAATTACTTATTTATTTTGATAATAAGAATTTCAAACATAAATGTCCGCAATTATATGAATTATAGTTTTGTTGTTTATTATAGTTATATTTAATAATTTTTCCTAAATACTTTATTATTTGCTTAGGAGGCTGTAAGTTTCCAAAGCCATCGAAGTAATCAATCTCATTATCGTTTTTCCAGTAAGCTACCCAATGCGTTCCCGGACCCTTTGAACTATCCAAATTTATTATTCCATATTCTCTCTTAAATGGTTTACGGGGTAAAGTGTCACACATGAATACCCCTCTAAAATTTGGAATAAATTTTGAATAATTTAAGTCTACATCAGTAAGAGGTCTTCTAGGTAGCCTCATTAAGAGTTTTTTTTTGGTATGGTTTTAAATATAATCCGAATCCCTTTTTATAAGGCTTTAAAAACATTCCTTTTCCCATTGAAATAGCTTCCATTGTATTATTATGACGTTTCGCCTCCAATAACTGCTCCTTTCCAGTTTTTATAGCATTGATTGTTTTAATAATTCCTGCTGTACCGCCAGATAGACCTCCAAGTGCTCCTAATGCTACGAATAAAGGCGCTAATGGGAGAAACCCTCCAGATTTAGGTAATGGTATTACACGTGGTGCTTTTATTACAGCTTTTTTCCCTCTATAAATATGATTTACAGCCTTTCATGAAATTTTTATTGCATCTTTTAAGTTATCACTTTTCTTTAAATTTTGTTTAGCACTTTTTAAACCATGTTTGAAGAGATGATAACCAGTTTTTCCTCCCACTTTCTTAGTTTTACTATAAATGTTCCCCATACCGAATTTGGTTTTTGTCTTCATTATATTTGTAACTAACCAAGCATTTGTTTTCTCATTAAGATTGCTATCCTTCGCTTTAACTCTTTCCCAAGCCTTCTCAATTAATTTTTTATCAGCAATATGTCGGTTAATAAATCTTTATTATATAAATATGATATATCATGTGCTCTACAAGCAGTGTCTAGTAGATTAATCCCTCGATCTCCTCTTACTAAAAGTTTCGGTAGTTTCGTTCCAGGTTCTCAAAATTGATAACTAGGCAAATGAAGTTCAATAGGAAGCTTATTAATTATATTATTTATAAAACCTTTTCCAACGACTAACGATTTATGAATAAACCTTTTTTCATAAATAACTCTCATATAAAATAATATTATATTCAAATAAACCCTGAAGTTTTTTAAATAAATCTATGGTTCTATATAATTAAATTTTAAATTTCTGAATACCAATTCTACAGTTAATTTATATTCAAATACAATATTATTATATGATTTAAGAATAAACTTCTATATCATACATCGCTTCCCCATTTGTTCTACTATAATACTTTAATTTAGTCTTAATATCTAAACCCCTTCTTTCATATTCTTGTTGGTTTTGATGTTGCTCCACTATGTACTCTTCAATTTCCCCGCCACAAACGGTTAGGAATTTTCCATTGTCATCCTCTTCATCCCATTTTTGGTTAAAAAAAGCATGAGCTGCTCTGACTGGGATGCCCAAAACCTGTAACCAGGGACCCTCATCTTCATCTTCAATACATATATAAGGGTTTTTCATGTCTTCAAAGCACAACATCTCCAATTCGAAATCGAAGTTGTACTCTCCATGATGCTCGCTATTGAGGATTCGATTGATTCCAGGCATGATGTGGTTTATAAATCTTTAAATAAAGTAAAAATTTCTAATGTACAGTATTAGCATATTTATACACATTTCATAACTATATAAAAAGCATTGAGGTAAACTGTTGATAAAGAACATATTTAAATAAACATATATTTTAGTAATCTATTTTATACTTCATAATATGATTCAATTAAAATGTGGAAATAATCTTGAACTCAATGTTGCTGTCAAAGAATATATTTACTTTTTATTACCCTAATATTATAAATAGCCTTGATCTTGATTTCATCATCATTGTATGCCTAATAAGTATAGTAACGCCAAGTGGACGATAACGAATCCCACATAAACATATAAAAAAATGCTTATAAAAGTATGTGTATATTTAAGTGTTTTATTCATCTAGCATTATTCATTCATATATTGCTAACTTAGTGAGAAAAGTTGTTCAGCATACTTTTTATGAAAACTCATATTTTGATATAGAAAGCAGGAGATATTAATAACACATCGTTTCGAAAAAAGATTAAGATACTTGTTTTTCTCGTTTATATTCATTGAAAGACAAATTTATTAAATTCAAAAGAGTCACCGAATGTCTAACAAATTCAAAAAATAATACGAAATCTTTTTATCTCTCACATATGGAAATAATCTGCTGATGTTGATGATGAGAACAAAAAAAAATTAATTTGAAATAAAATAAAGTTTTATAATTACTTATTTATTTTTATTTATTATTAGATATTTAATGAAGAAATAAATTTTCTTAATATTATTACATTTTTCAGCACATATCATAGAATTTTCATCATATTTACAAGTATTAATATTTATATTTTTTATATATATAAATTCTTTAAATTTGGACAATTTAAATCATCTAAATTATATAAAATAATATGGTATCCGAATAAACGTTGAATCCATCTGATTTTCTGCAATCCTTCAACATAGAATATATAATTTTTTCTTGTCATTAATGAATGGATATATTCAATAACAGCCATTAAAGTCGAATCACCATCTTCCCATTTTAATCCATGATGATTATGATATAACCAGTTATTAGTTGTTTTATCCCGTATCATCAACTTAGATTCTTCAAAAGGAGGTTGAATAACAAACGTTTTTATATATGATATATATGTTATATATATGTATGTTGATATGCTGACTTCTTTAGCAATAAATTTCCTATTAAAATAGAGTCCCTGAACGTCTATAACAAACGTATACTCCTCTAACATTATATAGATTGAGATTTTTTTAAATTCGCCTAAAAAATAGTCTTATGAATTTCTATAAAAGCTTATATTATTTTTTTAGAGTCTAATCAAATCCTATTTAAATAATTGTGAACATAAGTACGTATTAGAACCACCAATTTTATTAACTAATCGATCACACTCCGCTGAGTAATGAAAACCAAATATCAAATTAATCTTTTTATATACTACATTTGTATTCTTTTTATATGTCATATGAATACGGCAAATCCATATTATAGTATTAAAAGTTAAGAAATTTCCATATCCATATCATGTTTGTAACTTTTAATATCAATTAATGTGACATCTGAGCGTAGTGTAATATCATCTCCAGTAACAATTTCAATTTCACCGTTACTTAAAATTTTCTCGAATACAACCTGGCGATACACAAAACAAGAAATATTCAGTTTACGTTGAAGGAAACCACTATCATATGTACAACGAATTCGTA